TTTTTTTTTTTTTTTTTTTACACCGTATTCTCACTTTGACTGACCTTCGCCCATTGGGACATCTGTCATTTCCTTAATTGGTGTAGCATGTTAATGATTTTCGTGTCTTCCTGATCGCACTGAAAGTCTAGAGGGTCTCACTTTTTTCTGCCTCACACCTAACTCGTGTTCACCTCAATGGAAACTGAGCACGTGCTGATCAGATGAGCCCCTTTGCATGTCATTTTTCTGATTCGCACTACACTGAACTGTTTAATTTGTTTTCTAATTCAGAAATAGTTTTGCAGAAATTTTAGTATAAGCAACAGCCCCAAAGACTGAGCAAGTGTCCTTTTATTTGAACCATTAAAATAACAATTGGAGGTTTAAAATACTTGTTCAGTTTATTATTTATGGCCAACATTTGCTACTGGTTTAAAAAAAAAAGCCAAGTAGATACCTGTGTGTTCTGGTTTTGTTTTTAAATTTGTGGCTTAAAATGCTGCTTTCTTTCTGCATTTAATTTTCTGCAGGCTTTATCCAGAAAGTATGGCAAAACAGCCCCTGAACAATTTAAAACGTTGGAAAACGCTGCTAAAGGGCAATAGCTTTTTAACCTTGTGTCAGAGACACACTGGTGCTGTGGAGCATCTTGGAAACATGTCAGTTAATCGGAGTAATAAGGATCTTTCTCAATCTCGTTTTTGGAAAAGTTTAAAAGGTTTTAGACTCGTATTATCCTATTGCATTTGGCCATAAGGTGCATAGAAATTAGATTCCAAAATTTTTATTAGAAGCATCCGTGTCGGTGTGCCTGTGGGAAATGTCCCCGGGAGAGCACCAGCGCAGAGCTTTGTGTTGCACCTTTTTTACAGTCCGTGAGCAAAAAAGGTCCATTGTAAGAGAGATCCAGATCTTGCTTGGCTTCTCTCTCTCCTCCTATGTAGAGCAGTTCATTTTTCCTTGAAGAACTTCTGATTTTGCAGTAATAAAAAACGGTAGGTTAAAGTAGAAAATGATAGCAGTTGCTTTTTCTACAAGAATAGGATTTCTGAGGGGAGGTGATTTCCCCCCCCCCCCCTTCTTTTTCTCGGAGCATAATATCACATTAAGTGGGTTGGTGCAATTAAAGTACAGCTTTCATGAGAGGTTTCTATGGTGTGACCTAATTGAGCCCTGTCAGAATAACACTTCTCTTGGAATCATAAGCCTTTTATAAGCAGGCAGGTATTTTTACACTTAAAACTACCGTTTCAACATAATTACTAAGCATCTTCCATATATTTTTGCTAAAACGCTGTTAAAAAGGAACAAGTTCTATTTTACTGTAATGGGTAGGAGGAATGCAATATTGTAGCTAAATGGTTTTATAATGGAGGTGACTATTAAGTAGAACAGTCATTTGTTAAGTTAATTAAATGCTTGTTTTTCCTTTAAAAATGTATGAGAGTGTGCATCTTATTTGCTTTAATACTGTTAATTTGAAGTAATTGCTTCTCGTCTGCATTGGCTTCCTGGGGGCTGTGTCATACCAGGAGTGAGATTACGCTTTAAGATTGCATAGGTTGAATTGCACTAGACTATCTAGTCAAAAAGACTGAGAAGTTTATAATCAGATTGGTTGGCCCTAGCTGCAGGATAGTTCCCTATGAAAGTAGCTTGTATCTGTGACTCTTCTTCACCCAACTTAAAACAGCATAAAATGGCAACATCAGTTTGTAAATGAAGACATTTTCAGCTCTCTAATACCAAAGTATTACTATGTTTGTATAGTATTAACTGTACGAAGCCTCAGTGCATATCACCAAACGCAGATCCACACAAACGGACCCATTTTAATATTTTTTGAGCAACAAAATTGTATATTCCACTAGGTTTCCATTCTGTTTCTTATGCTCAAATGGAATTGAGTCTCTATTTTGGAAATGCCATGTTATAGCAATTGCCTTTAAAATCAGCTGCGAGCAGAGATCTGTATTTTGTTTCTTCAGAAGTCAGTAAGTCAAAGTGGTTGTCACCAAATAGGTTTTTAAGTGACTGAATACTGTTTTGACAGTCCTCTTGGTGTTCAGGCAGTTAGATTCTGGAAGTGGAGAAACCAGAATGGTTTCCCAGTGTAATTGCATAGATCTTAACAATTTTCAGTATATTACTGTGTTTATGGAAATCAGGGGGGGAGACTGTGTTCCTTGTGGCTCCAATGCTGGGAATATAGACTTAACATTGAACGGACCGCAACCTTCCTGATTTCTTACGTATGGCGGGTGAAATCCTGCCGCTGCTCAAGTCCGTAGAACATAATTTGGGAGACCTTGGCTTGAAACCTGCCCGCACAGGTAGAGACCAAGGTGGGGGATGTGCTTAAACTCCCCTTCCCAAAATTCCTTTGGTATCTCAAAGGCACTGCTTATGGCCAGGACAGAATTACCTTCTTCTGCCCATACGAGGATTTAGTGCTGCTGTGGCTTCAGCAATGCAAGAATCTGGAAGGGGAATATACTGGGAGGGTTGTTTCTGTAATAGTGTGAGCATTAGCCAGGCTACAAAGCTTGGCTGAGCCCAGTTTACTGGACTAGCTAAAAGGTGGTGCCTGTGACGTCTTCAGATGTTCAGCTTGACTAAAAACATTAAAGGTCTGGCTCTCTGCTCTGTCTAATTTGCCCTCTTGGTTTAACCACTCTGTAATCACTCACTTGTAACATGCAAAGCGCAGAGCTCAGGTCTGAGCGGTGCAGCGATGCGCCGCGTGTTGTTTAGGGATGCTTATGCTTAGCTTCCATCCTTCTTAGCAACTCTTCTTCCTTCTTTGCAGGACTTTGCCTCCCGAGCTAAACTGGCTGTTCAGAACCTGGTGCAGAAAGTTGGGTTCTTTGGCATTCTGGCCTGTGCTTCGGTAAGTTGGTTTCGGTCACAAAAGGAGGGGGTTGAAAGTCACCAAAACACAATAGTACGTGGTGAATGTATGACTTGCCTGCAGCAAAGTAACATCAAACCTCCTCCAGTGTCTTGGAAATGGAGAGTCCATGAGCACGATCGAATGAAAGCTGTTCTTCTTGACAGCTGGAGAAGCAGAGGGCTGCTGTAGTCGCCCTCGGGATGCCCAGTCCCGGATGAGCCCGTTGTACTTGGGGCCGGACAAACACAAGAAAGGTTGCCCTTTCTCCGAAATGCTTATTGTCGGTTTTCCCTGCCGTCTCTGTTTCCACCATGGCCTAACAAACCTGAGATCGCAACAAAGGGAACATGTTCTACCAAGGGAAAAAATCATAGCAAGTTAAACTCCAGACTTCCCCTCGAGTTCCAGTCTGCCTCGTTTCCATCCGGGAAGCAGGTGACTAGTTACATGTCTTCTGTTGCAACGAGCTCAAGTTGATGCATACAGTGCCGGCCACTGAAGGCAGAAAGGCCTGTGTGGTTCAGTGTCTGTTATCCTGGGAAAACCTTCTGGCGGGTTAAACTAAGGTACCCTCAGAAACGAGTTAAATGTTGATGTGCTTCTGTTTGAGAACAGGCAAATGCCCTGCGTTGGCTTGGAAAGCTCTCAGCTAATGCAGGCACGTGCCTGTTGCCTGCTGGCCTGCACAAGTGGGTAGTTAGCAGACCTGCTGCTTCTGCCCTGGCTCCACAGCCCGTGACACAGTTGTGACTCCTGGGTTGGGATTAGTCATAAAGCTATGTTCCTGGCTTGTTATGGCTAGCTCAGGCACTACTGTTTTACAGGCTGATGACCCGAATAGAATCATATTTTCCTTTTTTTTAGATGTCTGTCTGTGCCTAGGTCTTGGCACGCTTGCATTTTAAAATAGCCCAAAAAACCAGAAATGGAAAATCCCCCAAATACATGACACTTACCTGTTCAAAACCCAACAGGACTAAAGTGTTTACCCACAATAATTCCCCCCTGATTCATAGACAGGGCATCACTTGAGCTCACCACATTGCTAGAAGCCTGAGGGAACAGACGGGCTGACAAGTGGGAGAGGATCCCTGAGTTGGGTGCCTTTCAGTAGTCTTCTGTCGCTTAAACCGAGAGGCTTTTCATACAGGCAGCCGCGTGAAAGGCTGCTGTGCCGCTTTCGGACAAGGAAAAGACTGGTCGTCAGGTAGCAGCAGCTTGAACGTCCTTCTCGGCATGCTACCCTTTCGAACTGCCTGGTGCGAAGAGTGAAGGCCCCTGCTCCTGAGCTGAATTAAGTTGCTTAAATCTCTCAACCCACTAAGCCTTCAGAGTGCCCCACCACCAGGTCTGACTCACTGTTCAACAGCCGCCATCTCATGAGCCGTCACTGAGTAGCTCAACCGATCTGCCTCGATGTGCGTGAATGCTTTAAAAATACAGTTGTAGGGCTGACCTACTGGGGCAGGTGAGTTAGTGAAATGTAGAGCACTACAAGGGTCGGGGAGGATGTTCTCTTCCTCTTGGCACTTGTTTAGTGAGGTTTAACTTTGCATTTTAAAAATGAAAACGTTGCAAAGAGAGCAGCAAAGCAGAAGATGCCGTACGAGCTGGTCACGGGCAGAGCCCTGGGAAGAGGCGCTGGGCAGTTAGAGGATCACACGCTTTGTTCCTTCTGTAGGTCTCTACACACCCTGGGCTCTGTGCTTTTCTTCCTGCCCAGTCGAAGGCTCCAGTGGGTTTTCCTCTTCCCCCCCACTCTCCATTTCAGAGTCCACTGCTCTGGCTTACAGAGAGCCAGGTCCTTGGCCAGCCAGGGGGGTTGCAGCAGACCCATGTTGGCTCTAGGGTGTGACTCTTCCTCAGCCCAGCCAGCATTGCGGTGCTGGCAGATCCTGGTGTTGCAGAGCTGGGGAAGGGATGTCAGCATATGCAAGGCACCCCTTCTCTGCTCCTGAAGGTTATGTGGACTTCCCAGGGCATACCCAGCTGTGAATGTGGGCCCATCTTTCCCTGTTCTCCCTGGTGCCAAGGGCTCCACATTTTGCCCTGTTCTCCCTCCCCCTCCTTTCTTGTCTCTGTTCAGATAAGTCATTCAAGTTGTCATCACCTCAAACCGTGTTGAGAGAAAAAGCAGCATGGGCATGGGGTGTTTTTGTTGGGGAAGATGCCATGCCAGTGACTGGTTGTGTGCCCTATAAAGAAGCCTTGGGGATCAGTGGCTAAGGCATAGAGAAGCCATTGCAGTACAGACAGACCAGCGGAGGGATATGCTCGGGTTGAACGTAGAACTTGTGAGCGCGGCCAAGGCCTGACTAAATACAGAGCTGGCTGATGGCAACCACCGTTACAACGCTCAGGTAATTTCTGCACCAAGGAGAAGCTGCAGCCTCTTCACCATAAGTAGGTGCTGGAGATTAGACCCATACTCGCAGCTGAGCAAGCCCTGGTAGCCTTCACTGGGGGAAAAAGCGGTGACTTGTGTATGTGGACGTGCCTCATCCTGCTGTAGCCTGGACTGGGCTTCTGCTGCCAGCAGAAGGGCTGTGCAGGCGCTCCCGCGTCTTCTGCTACTTACCGTGGCCCCTTCCACAGCTGGGGCTTTCCCAGGGCGTTTTTCATGCTCGGGCAGCCCAGCTGCGGAGTGTAGGCCCCAGAAGCTTGCAGGTGTGCACGTGTTCTGCTGGCTTGGTGGTGGCAGCTGTGTGCCTGCCCCCAGGAGATCTGGCAGCAGAGGCAGCTGAAAATAGTCTTAGCCCTTGCCTAAACATGTTGGTTGCCATGTTTCTTTACTCTAGGCCAAGGTAGAGTCGAACGTGTTACCAGGTTGAAATGAATCCTGGGTTCCCCTTTGTGCAGTTCAAAGACAAGCTGCCCTATCGGGACACTGCCAACATATTTGCTAACCTTGCTAAAAAGAAAAGAAACAAAAAGCACCTTTACAAGCAGGGTGGCTCCAATTGACTCCTAATCAGCAGAGCTCTAGGCCTGGCAAAGCCATTCATTGGCCTTCTCTGTGCAAGGGAGCTGCCAGTGTGGGTGAAGTGCTGCGGAAGGCAAAGTGGGACAGGAGCAGGTACCACTACTTGCCTCTCGTTTTCCTAGGCCCATGCTGGTTGCTCACAGAAACCCAGCCTCCCGGCCCCAGAACAGCCTGTCAGTGTGAACCACGGAAAGTTGGACCTGAAGTCTGGACCAAATCCCTTATGGCGAAGCTGTCACTTTGTTTATGGCTCTTTAAATATCTAATTGGCCTCTATTTATTTGTTCACTTAACAAAACAGAGAAAGCCCAAGCTGTGGGACATTGGCAGGGCATGTGAAGTGCCAGGTGTTGGCACTGGGGCTCTGCTGGTTACTATGAGCCTGCTTCTAGAAGAGTTTTGCAGTGGCTTTGAAATCCAAACAAAGGATTTAGCAATAAGTAACTCCTTAATTTGAAATTAAATGCATATGTTTCGGGGGGGCGGACCCTGTAATCTTTGCTTTTAGACAGAGGATGCGTGCCGGAAAAGCCTGGTGTTTAGATAACCCTCTTCAGAAGAAATCACTGGAGAACACTTTGGGCAGTAGTTTGCATAAGCAATGTGCTTGTCAGGGAGAAATTTTGATAGATCACTTCAAATGTCTTTACTGTGGTTTCTGCACATTTCCCATGGAAAATATCTGTGAGCTGCTTTATAATCCGGGGATAACGAGAATATCAGGATGGAATCGTCTGGGACATTGTCTAGCTGAATCCCCCAGAATTAAGTTATGTGCTGTAATGTAATATTAATGGTTTTGTAGGTACTGAGACTCGGGAGGATTTTTGGCTCATGCCCTGTAAGAAGAAAGGGGCAGGGAGGAGGGGCGCAGGGTGGTGGCATTGATCGGAGCGTTTTGAGCGTGGGGTTCAGGTTCTTGAACTTGTCTCTTGCACTCGCAGATTCCAAACCCTCTCTTCGACCTGGCCGGGATAACATGTGGCCACTTCCTTGTTCCCTTTTGGACCTTCTTCGGTGCAACCCTGATTGGGAAAGCAATAATTAAAATGCACATCCAGGTGAGTGCATGTTACACCTCCTACAAAACACTTGGAGGAGTTGGGTTTTTTTCCCCCCTATAAGTACTACACTGTTAACTCTACAGCACTTCACAGAGTGCCATGAAGACCCCTTGCCTGACTTGCTGTGACAGAAATTAATTTGGCACAATGGATTTAAAATAAAGGCTCTGAGGCTTATTGTGCTGAAAACTTGGGTGTCAAAATAATTTATGGCTAATGAGCTCACCGCCTACACCACTCAGGAAATTGGTGGTTAGCCAAGCTATTTACCTAGGGTTTTTACCAGACTGAAAAGGCTTCGCGCTCATAATGAACTTGCCTTTTTGGTACCACACGCACTCATTTGCAGAGAGCCCTGGAGCTAGCCTTTACCAGCTGGGAGGTCTTTTCAGTTGTCCCCTTTCACTTCAGTTGCTTCTTCAAAGATGATTCCAGTCCTCGCATCTCCTGATCTGGCTGGCTTCACCCAGTCTCACCTGCTTGCTGCCGACGCCAGCCCTGGGGGGAGGGGTTTTGTGGAAGTTTCAGTCGTGTTTGAAAATGATGGCCAGTGACTTTGTTTGGGAGGGGTGCTTGCCTTTGTGGTGTCGTACAGAGACACGGCTCTCCGAGAGGGGGTGTCTCATGTTCATGGAAAGCCAGGCTCTTTCGAGGTGCATTGAATTGGGCGTTTGCAATCTTTAGTCACCTTTGAAAATCTTGCTGGAACTTTTCAGGTAACTGAAAGAGCTTTCCACCATCTTGTCCAGTGGGACATAGAGCAGCATGCCCTCTCTCATGTAATGGCTAGCCTAGCAGTCATGCTGCAGTTGGACAAGCCCAAAGTGACATTTTGCTGTTCCACAAAGGAAGCGCTAGACCTGCGCAGTAGGATAGAGGTAGAACAGCAGATCCCACTGCTAGTGCCCTGAGCACATGCCTTCAGTGCAAGGCTGCCTCGAAGTAAGCAGCTTCTCCCCCTGCTCCCCAGTCAGAGACGTCTCCTCCAACAGAAACTCTGTCAAAAGGCCATTCCTCCCACCCTGAACAGCAGGCTATTTCTGGAGTCTCTCTTCTCCCGTCTCTTTTAGGATGGAGGCTGATTCATGAGTCTCAACTCATGAAGTTGCATTTATTGCAAGAAGACTTGCATTGCTCAGGACTTTTTTTTTTTTTTTTTTTTTTTTTTTTTTTTGTTTTTTTTCCCCTTTGTTTTTTTTTTTTTTAAGGGGTTTTTTTTTTTTTTAAGGGGTTTTTTTTTTTTTTAAGGGGTTTTTTTTTTTTTTTGTCTTTTCTGTGCTGTCACAAATAAATCTTAACTACACAAAATGCAAAAGGTGAAAGAAAGCAAAAAACAAACAAACCCCAAGTCTTTGTGAAATAACTATTGGGACTTTTTTGCCCTGATTAGCTGGGGAAATGTCTGCTAGTCTGCATTGTTTTGCAGTGTAATTTATAGTACTTTGTGTCTGGATGCAGTGTAGGCAACCAGTAGTCCACCCAGCCTTGTTGCGCTTGATAAATCATTTTTATATTGCACACGTGTCCAGCTATTGGAACTCCACTCCGCGTTGTCTTCTTTCAGGCAGGCCGTTGTGAAATAAGCTGGGCTTTGTCACGATCCTGCTGAAATTTGCAATTTAGGAAACGTGGGGGTCATGGAAAAGCTTTATAGTGAAAACCTCCGCCAGACAGGAAGCCAGTGGCCCTGTTTCAGTAGCTGTTTTACAGTTGCATTTAATTGGCCTGTTAATCTGCCCCACAGAATCACTTGGCATGGTTTTACTCCCAGTCCACTTTGTTCAGTTCTCATCAGCTCACATGTACCCTGATTTAATGGAGACTATAAATATTGCATCGGTCTCTTACCTGCTGCAACCAACTGAGCAAGCTATCCAAGCTGAAAATGGTGATGCTGCCAGTTTCCCCTGGAGTATTTGTTGCAAGTGGGGTGTTAGGGATTGAGGCTTGGGGTTTCCCACAGAAGCATTAGGTGTTTGCCTTTGTAACGCTCCTGGGGTTAAGGCTCGGAGTCCAGGAGCCAACTGTCTTTCACTTGTGAAATCTTGACATTTACATCTATGCCCGTATGTGTACCAGGGACAGACGCTTTCTTTCGGCCCAGCCACGCTTATTTCTGCATCAAAACAGTGTTGTGGGAGTAAAGTGACCTTGAGCTTCTGGGAATTCTGGTTTTGGGTCAGCTACCCAGGCTGGAAAAATATAGCCTGAAACGAAATCTGTGAGGAAAGGGAATACCGTTTTAAATGCAGCCAGCACTTTTGTTCTGCCCCTTGTACTGAAGTGGAGATCGAAACGCAATGACACTGAAAGAAAAGTGAAGGGAAAATGATCTGTAACTGCAGGAGAAGCCATTTAATTGGAGAGGAACATAAGCTGTTGTGCTCCATTGTCCTGGCTTCCCTTTTGAATAAACATTTCTCTAACTGATGTTTTCCTTCCTACAGAAACTTTTCGTTATTATAACTTTCAGCAAACATATAGTGGAGCAGATGGTCTCCTTAATCGGGTGAGTAATTCTATAACTGACTAATACCTTCACTGATTAAGTGGAAAAATACTGGAGGAGTCTTGTGTAATGTGTGGAAAGTTGTGCTTTCCTCTGAAATGCCAGCTTTGGCCAGCAAAGCCAACTGAGATCTTATTTGAGCTTTCATTTCTTACCTCAAGGGCTTCAACTACCTCAAGGAGCGTAGGAGGTCAGATGGCCACTGCACACAACCAAGGTTTAGTGATGTGCATGTTCCAGCTGTACAGTGCTGGCTGGTGGGTGAAATGGACTCCTTCCACAATGCCATCTGATGGCTTCCTACCAGAAAATGAAGTAGCTGTCACTACGTAGAGGCACGCAGTGCTCAGATGCAAGCCAAGTATGGAGACCCTCCTAGTTGTCCCATACACTGAACATCTGAAACTTCTTATGGAGCATTGGGATGAGAGTCTTGGCACTGGGTTATAGTCCAATCTACCCAGCACATCTTTTTTCATTAGAGAAAGTCACGCAGTTGTCAGGGATAAACTGTTCCTATTTTGAGAAAATGTCGGTCTTTTTCCAGACTGGTAAGATTTTAGGAAGTGATTCAGATTTGTTTAAACTAAGACTTTGATGGGAAAAATAAGGCTGGAAAAGAGACCAAGAGCACAGGTATAAACAAGTAGTGAGAAAAGATCTTTTTCACTCGCAGGGTATGTACCTACTGCCAGAGTGGGTCCGAATGCAAATGGAAAGCTCTACTTAATCAAGGGCTGAATTTCCCCTGCCCGCCCCCCACAGTCATGTTTATCCGTTCAGTCATCAAATGCTGTTTAATTTCAAAGGCTGTAGGCAATCTGAGCATTACTGACAGGCCAGCCAGCAAATATGGGCCTAACAGTGCTTCTCTAAGCAGTTTATAAAGCTGGATGAATATTTTCCTTTGCTGAAGCAATTTGTCTCCATATACGTGACTCACTACAAATCACCCAGGATTGCCTCACAGAATTGTATTTGTTATTCAGAGGGAACATCTGTGCGCTCAGAAGCAAACACCCGTCTTTTCTCTGTACACGGATCGGACCACCTTGGCACCGGCAGGGGTTTGGTTCATTTTATACAATGATTCCCTAAAATGTTTGAGCAGACGTTTCCCTGGGTATTTGTTAGGGACGTCCAGTGCTTACACAGGGGGTGGGCAGTGATATGGCCTGGAGTTTCACCGAGCTGTTGCGGTCCAAGGGGGGTGCATGCGCTGACCTGGCGCCAGGAGAGGGTGGCAGTTGATTCTGTTCGGGCCCGTCTGTCCTGCACCCACCACGGGGGGGACCTGCTGCAGGCCGGATAGACTCCCTTGGCGGGCTGG